CAGCTGGTGAATTAACGGGTTTTTCATACATCGGAGTGCTAGGATGAGATAGATGCTCCGTACTCTCTTGCGAGTGCTCAGGGACGTAAGGCGCGCATTGAGTAGAATTTGCAGACCTAGAGTAAGAAGAGATCTGACTTGAGTTCAAACTGTCAGAATGGTTTCCTGCAAGAGGCGAAACTGTAGAGTTGGTCATATAATCGAGTGACTGTCCCGTATTATCCTGATCCCGACCACCAATGTTGGCTTGATATTTCATAGTTGATATCGCACTTGCGTCGTATACAGGACTGCTAGACGCACTTGCTCCGTAATCAAGTTCTTGTACTCGATCGTGACCACTGCTATAGGCAAGTCCTGCATCAAAAGTTGCTGCTGACAGAGAGTGATAGGTCGCCTTACTAGACTGCGCAGTAGTGTCGTACGTCATTGTTTCATCTGTACTCAATAGAGACTCGTAACCCGCAATTGGACCATCTGGTTTACCCAAGGGGCATACAGTTTTATCTTGATCGTCTTCAAGAGGGTTATCTCTTTGTCCATTGATTTGTATCGATGAGACCTTCGGATGTTCTTCAGGAGATTTTTTAAACTCTAGCTGATCATGCAACGTTTTCAGACGAACTTCCTCAGTTAGTTTATGGTTGAGATTTGATGTCAAGTCGCAAACTTTTCTTGAACTGTCCGCCTGCAAAAAGGTAGATCGATAAATACTGACCGTAAGTTATCAATCATAATGTTTTTTTAAAATAACTTACAGAACTCGTAGGTGTCACCACATTTGGGTTGCGCGAAGGTCTTTTCGAGGTATCACCCTAAAAAAGGCTGTGGACAGACACAACTCCTGCGATATCAGTTTCGCACCTTTGAAGATGTGAAGCATAGGAGCATGTGACTCACAAACACATAATTTACAGTTCAGCATTTTTTTCGGCTAACATAAGTGCAAGAGAGTTTTTCCGATTTCGCTATTTTCTCAATTCACACTAAGCTCATCAGAAATAGTTTTGCAGCTAAGAAAATCTAATAGCGCATGATAATGTACAATTATAATGAGAAATTGCTTAGAATCACATTCATTCAAAGTTATACAGTAGTATTCAGGCGCTTTTCAGTAATTAAGTTATCTAAAGAATAGATAAGACAAAAATACAGTCCTTTTGGAGAAAAACTGACCATTCTCCTAGCAGTTTCGCTATATACACTATCAATAATGCTGCAAATTTTTTGCTTAGCACGCTCCTCTTCCTCGGGTGTCAACTTTCCATCTGCTTTACTTCGTGATGGCTATAAAAAAGATGTGCACATTTACTATGCTCAAAAATAAAAAAAGAGAAGCAAAAAGTTACCCTTTTCGACTTCTTGCGAGGAGGTTCAACCGCCGGATATTGCTGTTTGTGCAGTGATTCTAAGAACGATGGTAAGGGATCCTAAATACGTGAACTCAATGATATATAACTGAATGCCTTATGTTTAAGATGAAAAAATGTCGGTTGATTTGGATTGCTAATAAAAAACCAAAATACTACCTTAGCTTCATTTCCCGATGCAACAATAAACAACAGTAAAAAGAAGCACAAAAAATAGTTCAAACATCAAAATTGTTTCCAATTTTACCACAATTTTGACATTATATTCTCAAGTGAAAGGAAACAACCTCGTCGACAATTTCCAGAGGAGGGATGTCGTAAGTGCCTGTGTTTTGATGAAGCATATTCAGTGCAACCCGCTTCATTACTTCTAGCCGACGGCATTGCTTTTTCACTTGGTAAATTCGCTCTCGAAGGCGAACCGATTGCTGGTAATGTAAGCACATTTAGGCTTCAAACAAAAAAAGAAAGAAAATGGAATACAATTGATAGTTTGATTCGAAATTGTTTTGATGTAGAAATTTCTGCTCGGCTAGTGTTGAAGCAGAGGTTTGATGAATTGATGATCTTTATAAAGTTACAAAATCAAGTCAAGGTACCAGCTATCTACAAGTCCTCGTAGGTTTCTCAGCTAAGAATTGAAAAAAAAGTAAAAATGAAACAGCGAGGTCAAATCACTGACATAAAAGACAAC